GACCTAAGATCAGAATCACCTGGATGTTGATTAAAACCCAGATTGCCGAGCCCAACTCCCACAGTTTTTGATTCAGTAGGTCTGGGATGGAGCTTGAGAATTTGAATTTCTATCAAGAGCCAAAGCGATGCTCATGTTACTGGTCTTGGCATCACACTTTACTAGAGCAATGTTTCACAAACTCACCTGTTTATTGTATCATCTGAAATCTTAAGACTATTCAATGTCCACCTCTAGACCAGTTAAATCAGAATCCCTGGAGATGGGACCCAGGAATCATTTTTTGTTGTTGTTGCCAAAGTGATTCTATTATGCAGTCCTTCTCAAACCTTCAGCAAGCATTAGAATCACTTGGAGAACTTAAAAACAAACACACACATATTCCTGGGCCCCACTCCCGGAGACTCTGATCAGAAGGTTTGACATGGTCCCGAGATTCTGCATTTCTAACAAGCTCCCAGGTGATGCTAATACTGCTAGTCTGAGGACCACACTTTGAGTGTGCTCTCCTAGAATATTTGGGAATCACATAAGTATTAACAGTCAGCACATGGAGTAAGTGAGTCACAGAAAGGACAAATAATTTGCAGAAAGCTACAAATTAGTTAGAGATAGCTGTGTAAGAGTAACTCAAGTATTGTTTATTTATCTTTTGGGACACATTTTCTGCTCTAATCTCTAATAACAAAGAAAATTAGTTTTGATTATAAGATCCACTGAAGGATCTTAGACTTAGCAGAACCCATAACTGCCTCAAGTCCATGGATTTTCTGCTATCACAAATGTGATTTAACCTTACCATAGCATATAAATTATTTCAAATAAAAAAAAGATGTAGTCTGTAACAACTTCATAAAGTTTTGCATTTCTGATCCCAAGTTTTCCATTTTATGACCCCGGATTTTCTCTTGCTTGCCAAATTCCGAATCAGGGTTAGCAAATGATTTTGATTACTGACCATAGCTGAAGCAATAAAGAATCCTTACTATTGTAAAGCATATGGATCTTTTGAAATTCTTTTCTGACATACTAGAGAGTTAGTTATTTCAGTTTTGGCAAAAAAGAGATCGAAACTCTGCTTTTAAAAATATGCTTCATTTTTCTATTGAACAAATGAAATATTTTATGACTTTTTTGTTTAAGCAGTAGTAGGAGTTATTTTACAAGTTTATTTTGAACTCTATATTAATACCTTATTGAATATTTTGTAATGCTACCTATATAATTTGTCATGAAAAAAACTTAGTTTTGCAAAAAGTATGCACCACAATACTTTTGTTGGATTCACTAATTATACATTTTCTTTTATAATATGTAAGTTCTTGGAGAGGTAAGAGTTATTGATTTAATCTGTTTTCATTTTCACTCATTTATTGCCAGTGCCTAGTTAAGATAATTTTTTATGTTTACAGACTAAAGTACAAACAACATACTCTATACATTTTGCAAAAATAAAACTATATCATATTTGGAGTTTCCATAGCATCTCTGATTTAGGAAATTCCGAAAGCTTTGAAGCTATTGTTTCATTGATTCTCACAACACTGTTTTTCAGGAGGGGATGGGGAACTGTTACAGCTGAAGAATGAAATGAGAGAATAGATGCAAAGGTGAATTCAGCACCGGGCTTAGTGCACAGTGAGTGCTATTATTGCTATGGGCATTAAAGTTTCAGCATGAAGTTTACTTTCCAACATCAATATATGAAGGTGTCTCATTATTGATTGTTCAGATCCTTTTCTCTAAAGCTATTCAGGTAGTTTTCATCAGATTGTCCTTAAGTCGTGAGATGAAGACAGTGTTATTTTGGCATGCAAAGTTGGAAAGATGAAATAGGAAGGTTGTAAATAAAACTTTCCAGGAAGGAAAGTTGTTGTTAGCTGCCGTTGAGTTGGCACCTGACTCATGATGACCCCACGCTCAACGGAATGAAACGCTGCCTAGTGCTGTACTGTCCCCACGATCAGTTGTGGATCAGATTGTTGGGATTCATAGGGTTTTCATTCGCTGATTTTCTGAAGCAGATCAACAGGCCTTTTTTCCAATCTGTCTTAGTCTGGTCATAGTTAAATGGTGACTTTGCTAAAAGTGACTCAACTTTAGGTCTTTTATTCTGCAACAACTTGGAAATTTTATCTCTCAATATGTCTCAAATTTAGAGATAACTCCCCCTTCTAGGTTAGATGTTATCTAATCACAAGGAGAGGAGAGAGAACAACCCTGGGGGTTGTTAACTGCTCCTTTATTTATTCATGATTAAATATAATGCTAAAGAGTATTCAGATATTACCCACATTGCTTCCTGCTGTCCACCAAATGTGAATTCTTTGCTGAGTTGTTCAGAACACCACACTGGCCTGATTCTGTGTTACAAGAGTGGGCAGAAGGGTATGCTCACAGCTAAGTTCTGCTGGGGGGAGACAGGGCTACTACTCCGTAGTAAATGAGAGATGTTTGAACTTTTTACTGAGGAGATATTGTGGGCCAGGGCTGACTTCTAATCACAGTTCTCTCACGTCATTTAAATCAGGTTCAATGACTGCATGTAATAACACATTTCTTACCTCCTTCAAGGTATTTTGGACCAAGTTTTTAATTCTCCCATGAAAACATTTAAAAGCAAGCAAGCATAGATTTGTAGACACTTTTAAAAAAAAATTGTGGTGAAAATATACACAACAAAACGTATGCCAATTCAACAATTTCTACATGTATAATTCAGTGACATTAGACAGAGACTTCTTAAAGGAATTTTGCAAACACTACACCTTCATTTCCTCTATTGCAATATGTACCCTATTTTTTCTGGGAAAGAGCATATGTTCTTGCAGTGCCATGCTGAAACTCATCCAATATACATGAGTAGGAAGTATTATCACTGGGTGATGTTAAAATCTCCTGGCTCTTTAGGGATTTCCCAAAAGACTTCTATAACAGAATGAAACCAAAATCTGATAATGAACAATACCACAATAGGATAAAATACTAAACACCATCCAAATCATGGGCTTTGCCAGGGAAATTGCTATCTGAAGACTTACAGCTGTCTATTGCAAATTTCTAAACCTATGCTGCTTCAAGTGCTTTTCAAAACCTTACCTATTTTTAATTCATACTCTCTTTTCCATTAGGGATTTGATGTAACCTACAATAAAAATAGATAAACGAAAATAAGATCATTGGTTCATGAGAAAATAATTATATATTAAAAAAAAAGCTCTGATTGAATAAATTTAACTCTGAGCTTCCTGGTAGCCAAAGGGAAAAAGAAAAATGGAAAAAATGGGCCTGGAGGCATAATGAATGGCTTATTATTAAGTCACTTATTAGCGGGGTGGCAAGAACCTTTCTCTAATGTATCTTCTTAGATTCCATTTCCTTCCTTAAAAAGTGTTGTCAAGAAGAATCTAGAAGATCATTGGAAGGATTCTAGGAGATACTGTATGTGAAGGGAAATTCTGAAGCAGAATAAAAAATGAAAGTAGCTGTAACAATAGTTTACATTATCCAATAAAAAGAAAACGAGACCTTTTCTTAAACCAGTAGACCAGACAATGTTTTATTGGACTAAATACCGCTCCCCTCAAAAGTCTGGAACACAGAGAGCACATAACAAATGTTTGCTGAACCCATGGAGGAAAGAACAGTTCCCAGATGTTTTTTCCTCAATTCAGTATGTTTGGCTGGCTTCATTCATTTCTTCAACAAACAAAAATGAATGCCAAATCCCAAGCAGCCAAGAGGGGCTGCAGAAAGTCCCATGCAGATAAACTGTTCCCCTATGAACTCACAGTTCTCAATCAGCCTTCAAAATTGCCTCGCACACGTGCTATGATTTCAAGACAACTTATTCTACCATCCTCCCCAATACTGCTTAAAGCCTTCATCAATCTCCACACGCTTAATTCCTTACCCTCAGAGGTGAGTTCTATGAAGTCTTCCCTGACCTTTCTCAAATTAGGTCTCCCTTCTTTATACCTGTTGCCGTAGTTTGTGCTGGACTAAAGGCTGGTGGTTCAACACACCTAGCGGTGCAGCAGAAGAAAGGCCTGGCAATCTGCTTCTGTAAAGATTACAGTCATGAAAATCCTATAGCATACAGTTCTACTTTGCAGCACATGAATTGGAATCTACTGAAGGCAACTTTTTTTCCCCCTTTATGCTACCATTCTTGCTTTCGTGGGAACCTCTGACTCCCTGCTTCCTGCTTCCCTTTCCTTCATGGCATTTATCACAGCTCCGGGTTTACATTTTTCTTGTATCATTATTTGATTAACGTAGGTGGCTGGTTCCCAGGCTGTGAGCCCCATGAGAACAGGGGGCTGTTTTTATTCACCATTGTGTTTCCCCAGGCCTAACAGTGCCTGACACGTTGTAGGTGCTCAGTCAATACTTGTTAATCAGGGGAACGGTGTGTACACTGGGAAAACAAAGGCCCTCTAAAGTTCCAGGGCGGATGAAGCTCTTTATCCTGGGCCTTGGTAAAGAAACCTTGGTTCGGTTTTGCAAAGTGAACTCTGTAACAATTGTTTTAGAGCGCAGCAGAACCCCGCCCCTTTACAACAACAAAACAAAACAAGTCCTGAAGTCGCCCTAAATTTTCTTCTTGGATTAGAGACACCGATTGCAGTTTAGGCTCGCGCTTCAGGGCACAACCTGGAAAAAACCCTGAAAGTATCCGGCAGCAGTGCCGTCCGGTATGCCAGCTGGAGGCTACGCCGGGACTGCCCCCTCTCATTTCTCCCGCGCGAAACCTGGTCGGACCGCTCCACTCCCACCCTCAACTGCAGGGGGGAGCCCGGCGCCCCGGGATTGGCAGCCGGCCTCTGCAGCGCCCAAATGCAGCCCCGTCTCGCGCCGCCTGCTAAGTGAAGTTCACTGCTAGAGAAACTGGGTGGTTGATGGGCGCCTCCGGGCCCAGTGAGACGGCGCCGAGTGTGCGGCGCGGCGCGCTCCCCCTGTCCCGTGCGCCGAGTGCGCCTCTCCCCCGGCCCTCCGGAGCTTCGGGGGGAGCGCGCTAACTGCGCGGTCGCGGGGCGTTCTCGGTGCGCCGGGCCCGTGGCGAGCCGGGCTCCCGTGGCCGCGTGCTAGGAGGAGGCTGGAGCCCTGTTAGGAAGAATGGAGTTGGCGACTCGCTCCCAGGTGAGGGTCTGGCCGCCCACCGCGGCGCGGACGCACCCACGGCCTGCCTTCCCTTTGCGCCCTGGCCCACCTCCCCGCTTTGGGCTGGAAACGTGGCCCTTGCTGCAGCGCTGTGGATCCAGAGCGCTTCGTCCCGCGAACGCCGGGGCGGGCGCGCCCTGCAGGTGTGCGCAGTGGGTCAAGTTTGTGCCACCTGGACGGGAGCGGCCGCGCGCCCGCTCTTGCGGCCTGTTAGGACCCTGCCTTCCCCCTGTGTGGGTGCCCGGGGGTCGCAGGCCTGGCCACTGCGGCCGCGGGCCCCAGGTGAGGATGCGTTTCGAAGGAGGTGTAGGCGGGAGACCATCGGGGCGCAGTGGCCGCGTTTGCGGCGTTCTTGGGGTCCTGGGGCCTTATTGGTGCGCTCCCCCCACTTCTTTGGGGAATCGGCACAGAGATAATGAAATTTAAATGTAAGTTTTCCAGAACTGTAGTGGAGAGTCAGACCAGTCCAACCCCGATAATGGCATTTAAAAGGAATTACTTTGTGTTTGTTCTAGAACTTTTATAAATGTTTTCAAGGAATTTGTAACACTTGGGGAAATGGCAACACCATAAGGCCAAGTTAAAAAATAAACTCAAATCCCAAGATCTCATACCATATTCACAACCCGACCCCAGTTACGCATTACGGTCCTAACTAGGTTTAGAAAATCTCATTAAAAAACATTTGTACGTTCTCAAAGTATTTCAGTGGGTGGTGGGGTTGTGAACGTGAATGACTTCAGTTTTCTTTTTTTTTTACTTTTTAAACAAGCGTTTCCCTATTTCCTAATAACGAACGTACATTTTATGTTCAGAGATAAGCAATAAAAACTTTTTTTTCAAACGAACTAAAAATACAACTTTTAGAAAGGGAAGGAAGCAACCGCGCCGCTGCTTGTGGGGGCCCAAGAAATGCTTTGTGCAAGGGTTTTTTTTTTTTTTGCTTTTGTGGAAGCCTCTGACTCGCTGCTTCCTGCTTACCTTTTACTGGTGTTTACCTCTTTTCCCCACCTGGCTGCTGGGCCTAGGAGAGGGAGAGGGGGAGGAGGGGTCCCCGGCTTTGGGAGACGTGGAGCGCCGGTCGCCTGCGCTTGGCACCCCAGGGCGCGGTTGGGCCGGCGCCCAACTACCTGGGCGGCGGCCAGTGGTGCCTGAGCTCAGAACGCTGCCGCTGGCCCGAATCCGGCGGCAAATCAAAGTCCGAGCCACTAATGGCTGCCTTGGCCATTTAGTCATTTCTGAAAGGCTTCTTGAAAATGGGCATTTGAGAAAAATCTACTGTTGGGGATGAGAAAGAGTATCATTTTTTTAAAATTTCCCCAGTGGGGGGAGATATTAAAAGAAGGGAAAACACTAATGCAACCCTGAAAGACTGAGACAAGGTTGGGTTTATTTATTTTTTTTTGCTGTGACCTCCTGTGCTTCTGGAAGTTCAGCTGCTCCAGAACTTAAAAAAAAAAACTCAAAAAGCAAAACTTTTCTGGAAGGAGCTTTGAGCTCCTTGTGAATTTCATCAGAAAATTTAGAAAATGTATCACTCCTAAAACCTGTTGTTTTGCTGGAAATCACTTTGCACTTTTTCCTTACCTCCAGTTATACACATAGTTCGTGCTTAGGAAATTGAAAGTGTCCCAGGATATGTATTAGAAGCGAAAATTTTCTTGTCAAATAATGAGGAAAATTTTTGCTAGTTCTAAAATGTTAAATAAACTATTTACCATGTAGGGATAATCCACAAATTATTAACCCATTATGCACCAATTAGGACAAATTACTCTATGTAAGATGATCAGGTTTTCTTTTCCTTTTCTAAAAACCTCCTAATTGGCAGCACAAATTAAGATGTGTGATGATTTTTCCAGTGGAAATGGTCCTGTTCATAATTTAAGTGTGAGCAGATTAGAGTCTCTCTAAATTAGTGGAGAGTGGTTCAGTAGGGTGGGCAGGTGACAGCAGATAAGAGTACTTAATGAACATTTCAGGCGCAGCAAGAGGTTAAATTCGCATGGTTCTACGCCGTACCCCAGCCTCATGAATAAAGCAGTGTGATGAACCGCCCGAAGCGGCATTACTGCACACTGAATACTCCTCAGCTCAGTGTGCAGTGGGTTTTAATCTCATACAGTAAATGTAATTTCTATCCCTTGGAAAGCTCAGAGCTGGAGGGGTTCCAGCAAAGCAGTTTAGGCGTAATGTTAGGAGTAAACGAGGAGGAGAGAGACCCTCAAGTAAACCCTGAACTGCTTTCCAGCCTCTGCTTTTCCAGGACCCCACCAGTATGTAGGATTTGGTATCTTCTGACAGTGATTACGCCTCCCATGGGCTGTAGTCCTTGTTGGGGTGACCATTGTGTCTTTGTGGTTTCATATTGAGTGACAGAAATAATAGTAAAGGCAAGGGTGTAGGCCCTTACTGAGAGCTCTCAACAGTGCTGCTCACAGGAGCTGGAGGATGAGGCTGCCTCAAGCTTCCTAGAGAAACTGGTAGGTCCTGGATGTTAGTATTGTCCTTCTACTCTCTTCTACCTCAGAGGTGCACGTTGGTCTGAGAAGGAAATGGTGCTAAATGTGCTCTGAGTATGCATGGAGTATGCTGCTGAAGGCGTGATTGTTGTTAGTTGCTACCAAGTCGGCTCAGACTCACAGTGACCTGTGTATAACAGAACTAAATGTTGCCTGATCCTGTTGTTGGGGCTCTTGTGCCATTTCATCTCATTGAGGGTTTCCCTCATTTTAGCTGACCTTTTACTTTACCAAACATGATGTCTTTGTCTAAGGATTGGTCTCTCATGACATGACCAAAGTAAGCAAAATGAAGTTTCGCCTCCTCGCTTTTAAAGAGCATTTCGGTTTTATTTCTTCTAAGACTGATTTGTTCGTTCTTCTGGCTGAAGGGGTATAGAAGAATTTTTCTGGTGTTGGCATTGGTAGTGCGCCCATCTGATCCTAGTCCTGTGGCTTAAAATGTGTGGCTAGAGGGCCTGAAGTTGGTCACTGATGGGGGTTGTTTGTGATGTCTTGCAAGGACACCACAATGATTTTCCACTTTAATGGTGCTGTGCTTAAAAGTCCACTTGGTTGCTTTTTTAGTATACTACTGTCACATCCATGTTGCTGTCATTGGCCGTGCAGTCGATTATGACTCATGGCGACCCCATATGTGCAGAGTAGGAGCAGAACTGAATTCTCAGTGATCAGGAAAAAACCTCAGGGAACAAAGCAATTCTGGTCTAGTCAAGTACACAGGATGGAAAACCATGAGAAAATTATGTGACTTTATGAACTTTAGTGTAAAATAATGAGAAAGATCTATAAAGCCATTTGACTAGAACAGTCTAGGCATATTAATTTTCAGCTGACCTGTTTTAGTTTTCCTTTAGCCATTAACACTCTCTATGAGCTACGATTTAAATTTTTTACTTCAAAGATACAGCTCTGTGTTTTAAAAGACTTTATTTTACCGAATGAAATCAAGACAGGCTTCTTCGGGGAGAGAGAGATAAGAAAATGTTAATGGAACCATTTTATTTTATTTTTTATTTATGAAAAGCAGTGGTTTCTGAATGTTTTAAAATAGGACCATTCAGAGGCATATATAAGTATAGCTGACATTAATAAGCAGAAAAGTTTGTTTTCCAAAGTTGTAAATCTTAGTGTATGTAGCACAAAAATATGCCGTAGAGTTTCACGGTGGGTAAGGGCCCAGAGTTTTAGTTCAAACAAATAGTTGGCTCTACCTGCCTAGGTTTCTTCATAATCATAAGCTGGATGACAGAGGGCTGGCTCCCTGACTGGGTTGGTGCATTCATCTGATACTTATTGAGCACTTGCTATGTCTGAGGCATTATGTTAGTTGCTGTGGAAGAAACGGAGTCCCTGGGTGGTGCAAATGATTAACATGCTCAGCTGCTAACTGAAACATGGGAGGTTGGAGGTTTGAGTTCACCTAGAAGTGCCTTGGAAGAAAGACCTGGCAATCTACTTCCAAAAACTCAGCCATTGAAAACTCTGTGGAGCACATTTCTACTCTGACACACATGGGTCACCATGAGTCAGAGTCGACTTGATGGCAACTGGTTTTATGGAAGAAATGAAGACATAGAAACACTGTTCTTTCCCTAAGTCCTCTCCAAGCCGCTGACCGAAGGTCCTTCTGGGAACTCCTTGCCTTTTCTGCCTTTGCCCGAGCTCAGCTGGCTCCATCTCTGTGCTCTGAGGACCTAGGTGGCCTTGGGTTCTGGGAGTGGGAGAAGACCTTAAGAGCTAGTGCTTCCCCCCAAGGGATGGAAACTAGCATTTACTCTGATACCTTGTAGGAGTCATGTTGGGCTAAGTACTTCAAGTTAATCAGATTTAATCCTCACTATAGTTCGGTGAAGTAGATTGTATTATCTACATTTTAAAGATAAGGCTATCATGACTAATTTGCTCAGGGCAATCCAGCAAGGAAGGAGCTCAGCCAGATTTCCCAGTCTGCAGAACCTGGTGCTTGTCACTGGAGTCATGGGACCTTGGCAGCCCACAAAATTTTCACTGAAATACTTTTGCGAGGATAAAAGCTTTACCCAGCTTACCTTATAGTGTCACTGAAATGATCAGGACATGCCAAGTGTTTAAATATAGTATTTAAGTATAAGGAGAGGGTGTCAGAACTTTTGATTTTTCTCATGATACCTTCACTCCTCACTTTAACTAGAAAGTCTGGAGCATTGCAACAGCTGGTCTGGTTCTTTTTTAGGAACTTGCCAGATTATGCTTTGGGAAGAATTCCTTGGATACTGTTTGTAAAAGTCAGCCTGGGAATACGAATAAGATCCACAAAGTGTTTACATAGCAATGATTTTTGTGTGAATTTTGTATTTTAAAAAAACAGTTGCCATAGAGTCAATTCTGACTCATGATGACCCCATGTGTGTCAGAGTAGAGCTGTATTTCATAGGGTTTTCAATGGACGAGTTTTCAGAAGTAGATCTCCAGGCC